GTTTTTTTTTTTTTGTGTGGGGTGGGTGTTTTTTTTTTTTTTTTTTTTTGCTGTCACATTTTAGTGCTGATTCAGATAAAGGTGTGCATACAGGAATGCCCGTGATGATGTCTTTGCCCATTACACGGATACACATTCTGTTAGCAAACCCTATGCAGGAGTAGTGCTGATTCAGATAAAGGTGTGGATACAGGAATGCCCGTGATGATGTCTTTGCCTATTACACAGATACACATTCTGTTAGCAAACCCTATGCAGGAGTAGAGTGGAACCATCTTTTCCATTATTCACCCATTCATCCATTTTCTAACCCGCTTATCCTCACAAGGGTCGCAGAGGCGTGCTGGAGCCTTTCCCAGCTGTCTTCGGGCAGTAGGCGGGGGACACCCTAAACTGGTTGCGAACCAATCGCAGGGCACACAGAGACGAACAACCATTCGCGCTCACACTCACACTTAGGGACAAACTTGAGTGTTCAATTAGCCATGTTTTTGGAATGTGGGAGGAAACCGGAGTACCCACAGAAAACCCACACAGGCCCGGGAAGAACATGCAAACTCCACACAGGGAGGCCGGAGCTGGAATTGAACCCGGTACCTCTGCACTGTGAGGTCGACGCACTAACAACTGGACCACCAGGCCGCCCAGTATTATTATTATTAGTTTTATAAACATATGTCTTGTCAGTACATCTGCGATAGCCAGAATTTGAGCTGCCCTGGACAGTGTTTGTTTGTGTCCTTTGCATAATAGTCCTGAGAATCTGGCTCGCAGGCCTCGAGGTTGACACCTTTGCCAAATCGTAGTCTTTTTTTTTTTTTAGGGCATGTCTTTCTGCTTTCTGCTTTGACGTTGGTTTAATTTATGCATTAATTCACAGCGAGGTGGAGTGACTGCCTGAAAATTGCGTACAGCGCTCTGCATGAACGTAAAGCTCAGATCATCGTTTAATGGATCCCGAACTTGGCGTGTGACATTGGTCTTTGATTGAAACAATCCGTGTCACCTTTGTTGAATTAAAAAAAAAAAAAAAAAAAAAAAAGTACGTTGGTGAGTCCACAGAGGTTAAGGGTGTTACTCAGAAAACAATGAAGCATCCATTTGATCAACAGATGCCACGCATTTAAGCTCAGCGGTGCACGAGTCGTTTGCCAGATGGTTGCGCTGATTAGCGCGTGTATCCTCACAATGATGCATGATGATGCTTTTGGAAAATGTCAGCCGCTCCCCACCCGCCGGTGCGCGGCAAAAGAAATAAAAGCGAAACAAAACAGCAAATGGCAGGATTGAGCTATGAAAGGAATCTTTGTTAGCATGTGAGAAGTAGGTAATCTCATGTGCCTGCATGCACAAAAATGTCACACAAAAACGTCTTTGTCTTTAGACTTAGTGAAGCAGCATGTGGCTCATTAGGCAAGGTTATTTTCAATGCTCGAGGAACTGTAAACAGTTGTATTATTGCGATGAGATTACTGTAAATGAGGGTTTTGGCATCTCTTATTTACTACATATGAGAATTAAAAATTTTGGTAGACGTTTTAGAAAGGATCATGGAAGTTGACATGTTTGAGCTGCTTTCGCGGGCCGCATAAAATGATGTGGCGAGCCAGATCTGGCCCCCGGACGTTGAGTTCGACACCTGGGATCTAAGTTCTTGATGTTTCATTTTTACTGTCATGAAATGTAATCATATGTCAAAAGACAACAGAAACTGCAACCAATGTGAAACACTGACTTAACCCTTTCGGGGACAGCGGTTACGACGGTGGATAGCTTACCATGTTATCAGGTTACAGGGTGCATGACAGGGTTAAAAGCAAGTTTGTTTGTTTTTTTCCATACAGTTATACCCCTGCAATTATACATTTATGTGGGTTCACCATAATAACCAGCCACCTGATAGATACCATCACTATCGGGTGGCTTGTGATGAACAAATTTGACATCCCCTGTGATGTGGCACCGAATTATTCCTCTGACTGGCATCTTCCAGTCCCTCAGTAGTGTCACACACACTCGGCCTACTTCATATAGATGGCTTTGCAAGTCATGTTATGCATTTCTTCAACGGAGTCTGAATAAGTCATAGCCACAAATGCGGTAAATAAAAAAAAATATATATATAATGTAGTCGCTCCCGAGGCAGCACGACTCATATTAATGAACAGAGAGGGAAATAAAACATTTCATATTTATGCTCGTCCTTGAAATCTCACACAAAAGCCCGGCTTTCTGTGAAGGATTAATGGTACACTATGCTGAATAATAAAAGGTAATCAGTAGGCGGTAGCGTACACACACACACACACACACACACACACACACACACACACACACACACACACACACACACACACACACTAACGCGCAGATGACATGCTTGTCTTGAACGGAGATAAATGGCGCAGCTTCATGCACATCAGATTCACGCTCACAATCTCTCCTCGTCGCACTGCAAATATATATTCGCTGCCAGAGTATTTGGTACACATGCACATTCTCATGTCACCCATTGTCAGAAATCTATCTCCTGAGCTTCCGATTTAAGACATCTTAACTGATTTTTTTCAGCGCGAGAGACAAGAAAAAACAAAATTAACATGCGTATATTTATTGTTGGAGTACCAAGGCCAATCTGTGAAAGGCGGGATTGTGCAACAGGGCATCCAGACAGCGGGAAAATACTTCATACAAAGAAGATATAATCGTACGGATGGAACAGATAAAAGATGCTGGGCTGTATGTTAATCTCGTAACTAATCATGACTAACGCTAAAAATGATGAAAGAATGTCATGACTACACTGCAGTTCTTTATTGTGGCTAATGACTTAGTTGTCTAAATTCCCCTGCGAGCTTCAGGTCACTTCCTAATTGGCGACCATTCCATATCAGATTGGGGGGGGGGGATATACATGGTTAGAGTCACAGCTTTTCAGTAACCCACATATACTTTTAATGTGCCAGTTTGGCACAATGCAGTGTGGTTGCCAGAGGTGATACTTATTTTTTAATATGGGGAACAGAATTTTGGTGTAATTGTGCAAGATATTTTGCAAAAGAAACTCAAGGGTTTCGAATAAATCTTGTTGTCATTTATTTTTTACACAACTGTTTGTGTGTGCGTGTGTGTGAGTGTGTGTGTGTATGTATTCCCCACATGGAATAAATTAGCTCAAATCTTTCGCTCCAACTCCTTGCTAACTTTCTTTCTGCCCCTTTCATTGATGCAATGTTTGTTTTTTGTCAGTGTGGACAGAGCAGGGTTATACTAGTTGGGTTTTTTTTTCATTATAGTTTGTGCTTTATTTTGATTGTTTTTCAACGTAGTTAACAGTGATTATTTTAGTGCAGGTTTGTTAGTTTTAGTTTTAGTTTTGTCCTGCACGGCAGTTTCACACTGTGGCGAACTACATTCACGCTAATGCCTCCCTGACAGCACATCTTTGCATAATTGCTGTTATATCTCTTATATTAAACCCCATTAGATTGTATCTGTTGAAAAAGGCCTGAGAGTGTGGACAATAAAATGCGAGTGCAGTTTCATCCTGAAATCTGCTATGAGTAAATCCATCATAACTTCAGTCTTTTATTAATCACACCTTCTGATACGAGAGTGTGGACAATAAAGTGCGAAATGCAGTTTCATCCTGAAATCTGCTATGAGTAAATCCATCATAACTTCAGTCTTTTATTAATCACACCTTCTGATAGGTCACACACATCCCATAGTGGACACTTGATCAATGTGATTGATTTGATGATTTGCATCTCCACTTTTGGCTCTTACAGCGAGTGCACATACAGTAAAATGTAAACATGGGGCAGCATTTCCCTTTATGTACAGTGCACGTTTTCATTTACACACACACATACACACACACACACACACACACACACACACACACACACACACACACACACACACACATACTTTAAACCTCTTAGCTTCAGGTGAAGCCTTGTTTGATTTTAAAAAAAAAGCGGTTAATTGGGGTCATGTTGCATTGATTCTGTCTCTTCTGTAAATTCAAATTCAATGACTGTTCTGAATTAAATGAGGCAGGTCCACCATGGTATGCGGCGAATAAAAGACAAACGGCCTTTCTCGCATGGAGGTGAATGGAATTTCAATTTAAGAGACTGGCACACACACACACACAAAAAAAGAAGAAGAAGAAAATAATAATAATTTGATGAACTGCGGCAAGCTTGATCCAGGAATCTGGATGCTTGTGATCGCACCTCTGGCTGACACGGATTGGTTAAAAGTTGGCAAAGGCTTACAAATCACTCCGTGCCACAGTGTTGACAAAGTAGGTGAGTGGAGCACAACAAAGACTTGGATGCTGTATTATTTATTTCTCGTCGTGCTTTTGTAGAGTGAAGAATCTCTGAATTCCTTCCCCACTTCTCTCTCTCTCTCTCTTTCTCTCTCAAGAAAAAGAAGCTGAATAAGCGAAACTGATGCACCAGGTGTTAAGTTATTCAAAGACGCTCCCTTTCCAAACCTTTGTATACCACACTCAATTTATAATCTCTCTCTGTGTCTTTGTGGAGGAATACTTTCAGATTTAATCAAGCAGGTGCTCTTTTGGCCTTGAGGCAACCCATACACACACACACACACACACACACACACGGTTGTCCACACTGAGAAAAATGTCCTCGTAGCAATAATGGTGAAATGTAAAAATGAAATTATTATTAAACTACTGTATTTAATATCATTATTGATGGCTATTACAGTATTATTGTTGGTGCCAAAGGTTCAAGAAAACCATAATGAATAACCATTATATATCAGCTTGGAAGTAACAGAATACACGTAACGGCGTCATGTATTGAGGCTAAAAAAAGAGTAACTATAATCCGTTACAGTTACAGAAAATGAAATAACAGGTACCTTTCGGAATAATGTGGATTATTTTGCAGGGTTATTTATCAGGCAGAAACAAGTCCCTCAGCCCCCTTCTCCCTTCATCTTTCTACCCGATCACATCAAGAAATAGTCACTGCCTCACTATTAACTCGCAAGTGCACTGCGTGTTTCCATATTCAAAAACGTTATGGTAAAGAAAGCACAAGTGGTAGTTGCACAAAAATCGCGTTTCGTAAAGTCGAATGGTAGTTTGTCCAAGTGGTGTTGCCGTATTATTTCCGCTGCAGCGCTACTTCCGTGTACATTTTGGTCAGCGTCTCACTAATAATTCTTCTCAAATTGGTATTGTGTGTACAGGAGCCTCCTCTCAGAGCGGGTTGTCACCAATTTACTGGACTAAAACGTAATTGATAACATTTTAGCGTCCGGAAAAATTCGTATTCGTGTACGTTAAAGCTTCGCAAGATAGCTTCGCTTAGCTTAGCTAGCTAGCTGCGAACAAGGCGACGCGTTTTGCTGCAAGCGGAGATCAAGTTTTGTACTTGCCGTGTGGCAATGTGTGCAATCAGTGTGAAAGAGGAGTACGAAGAGGAGCTATGTCGTCTAAAAGAGAACGATGGACAACGTCTGTTGTCAGACGCTGTAGTCAAGACTCCTCGAGTTGTGTCGCACAGAGCAGGTTGGTTACCTGTTTTTACGCCTTTACACAACAGGACCCCTCCACCACTTTTTTTTTCTTAACCAGATTAATCGTGGATTATCCTGAAATTTGCTTATATTTTTCTTTTAGACTGAACTGCACAAGTGGCTTCTAAACATTGCCAAAAATTTGAATGCACACCAACGTCTCAACTTGACTTTTCCAAATCGTGTCTTTTTTTTCGTGTGTCCTTCAGACCACACTAAAAAGCACCAGGAACCTCAGTGCCCTTCCATTAAAAAAGAAGTAGAGGAAGAGTCCCCCCACATTAAAGAGGAAGAAGAGCCTGGTCACCAATGTGCTGGATCACATCAAGATAGTCTCTTAGCTCCACGATCAGATTGTGACATATCGTCACACCCTTCTGACAGTGACACTGATGATGAACGCTCGAAAGGTGATGTGATATGTCACGCTGACAACAAACCCTGGAAATGTTCTTAAGTGTGACAAAACCCGGCAGTGTATTGCGGTAATGACGTCGACTGTGATACCTTTTGCCTGCTCAGTTGGTGGTAAAAGATTCTCTGACAAGGGACATTTGGGAACACACAGTGGAGAGAAAGGTTTTTCCTGGGCAATTTGTGGAAAATATTCTGTCTTAAGTGGTTGAAAAAAGTATCTGTGCTCTGCCAAGAAAACATCTTCTGTGCTCAAGAAGAATGGTGCAAGGACTTTGATTTACGCATTATGGGGAAGAAACAGTACAGTTACAAAGTGTCTCGTGCTATAATAGATGAACATGGCTTGGTGTCTATTAAAAATGGAGAACAAAAATGAAAACGTTTTTACTGCCAATATTTTGTGGATTGGAAACTTGGACTCCATCAATCTGTTCTCTGGGAATGATAAACCTTTTATCTGGCTTTCACAGGTTTCATTAATTACACTGGAACCACATCCAGCGCTGGCATTGGATGTGGAAAGAAAGTAAGAATGTGTTTTTCAAGTAGGGTCAAGTAAGATAAAAGGCCCATCTATATAGTTATTGTTTATCCGTAGAGTGATTTTTATACATTTTCCAGAAACAATATTATATCCCGCTGTTACAACGATCGTATACTAATATGACTCCTGCATTGTTTGGCTTACTGTGAAATTCCACTGGGTTATTTAGAATAGCAACATGAATGATAAAACATGACAAATATCGACACACCACCAAGCAGGCACTTGATGTGTGGATGTTCTAGCTTTTGCTAATTTATTCTATTTTATTTTACATTTGTTACAGGACAGAACTGCCACAGAAAATGCAACTGCAATCCCCGAAGTCGATGATGAAGACAACGATGGAATTGATTCCTCCACCTCCACGAAAGAAGAACTATCCGTGTGCGAAATTGTAAGAATGTGTTTGATTACACAATCAGTGACGAAAATCGTAAACAAAAATTTTACTAAAATAAAACGAGTGTTAATAAACTGTTAATCTATTTGTACTTTTCTTTTCAGAATAGCCGTCGCTATTTTTTATGGTCTTCATGAAATCTTTGGTAGAGGTCGGGGAGTGGTCAAGTAAATCTGACATTAAGACAGGAGTCATATTCATGGTGGAAAAAGTATAGACATGATTTTTACTCTCATGTTTTTTTTTTTTTTTTAAATACCAGAGTTGGCACTTGAACAAGGTTGAATCAGGGGTGGTTAAAAAAAAAAAACATGCTAATCTTACAATGAATGAAGAAGCGTTTGCAAGCTACGAAATGACACACAACAATTTTTTTTTCCAGAACACAGAGGAGCAGAGTTCTCTCTCCCTGGAAATGTTAGATGAAGACCAACATCCGCCTGCAGATTCATTTTCTTACACCGAAGAGGCTTTCGTGTGTCAAATGGTAATCATGTATTTCATTACGTAGACAGGGATCATGAAAAAAAGCATATATGCATAGAAAAAAAGTTGTGCTATACATCTATACGGTATACAGTGAACATAGTATTCACACCTCAAATCGCAGTGACATAAAAAAGTAAGACAAAGAAAATAAATCTTAAAATGATGAATGAGTGCGGCTTTGTTCCCAATCAACCAATCGCATTCAAACTCTTCAGAGAGCCAGCACACGACTGCCACCATTTAAAATGCCTCCGCTTAACCCCAAAGAAAGTTCAGATGGTTTAATAGACTTCTGATATTTTTTCCACAGCACAAGAAACGGTCAGGAGAGAGTTTCCACAGCAGAGAGCTGCCACAACATCAGAGGGATCTGATCGTTGAAAGGTATCAGTCGGGAGAAGGGTACAAAAAAATTTCCAAGGCATTAAGTATACCATGGAGCACAGTGAAAAGCGTCATCGTCAAGTGGAGGAAAAATGGCACCACAGTCCCGTTACCAAGAACCGGACGGCCCTCCAAAATTGACGAAAAGACGAGAAGAGAACTGGTCAGGGAGGCTGTCAGGAGGCCGACGGCAACACTGAAGGAGCTGCAAGAATTCCTGGCAAGTACTGGCTGTTCGGTACATGTGACAACAATCTCCCGACTCCTTCATATGTCCGGACTTTGGGGTAGGGTGGCAAGATAAGGGGTGAAGACTTTTACTAAGTATTATGACCGAGGTCGTAAGTTCTCATGTTTTTGCGGCAATGTTTGCTTGAAGGTCCATGCAGGTGTGTTTATTTTGTTTGATTGGGGTTGATGGGCATCGGCTCTCCTGATTGTTGGCGTGGGAGGACCATCTCTTTAAGAGCAGAATTGCAATGACAAAAAGAGAACAGTAACCCTCGTCTACCCTCTTCCAACTGGCCGCACGATGAAAATTGTTTGTAAACCGAACCCTGGCACAATCAAGAAGAGGTGAACCGGCACTTGTTGTAGAGCACTTTTCCACCAATTATGAAATTCAAAGCGCTTCACCTACTGATGGCGCAGCATCAGGAGCCACTGTGGGGGGATGTTCAACATCTTGCTCAAGGACACTTTGACATAGTCACAAGGGCCGGGGATCGAACCCACAACCTCTAGGTTGGGCGTGGCCCACTCTCCCCTGATCCATGCCACTCCCGTTGTGTTGCTTCCTTGGTTGCATTTGACGACTCTCCAAGTGAGAAATGTCTTTTTGTGTTTTTTCTCCTTGGTGCACCCTGAATGAAATCTTTTTTTTGCAAAATAATATATCCATGGTAAAACCAGTAATATTGTGAATAAATATTTTTATTTTACACCGTCTGAATCCTTTTTATGCTTTGCCACAAATTTATTTTTGCACCAATCGGCAAACTCCTTCAGGGACACGTCAATCATTATTTATATGACAGTTTCGGTGTACTGTCACCTATTCACATGGAATCCTCGTTTGTGAGTGTGGAATGACAACAAAGTCCACGGTTCTACTGGTAAACACACACACGCACACACACATTGCCTTGTGTATCAGCCAAAATGTTCCTGCAAAAAAAAAAAAAAGGCCCATACAATAAAGATGGGATTCCAAAGTTGCTGACTACAATGGAAGTACGACAAAACACACACACACACACACACACACACACACACACACACACACACACACACACACGCACACACAGGGACCCAAGGAGAGGGAATAAAACGGAGTGCTCACCCAAGGCTTGATGAAACTCACCCGACACCGGGGTCATGGGAGTGGGTGGCAGGCTGTTGATGTTGAGCGCCCCCATCTGATGGATCTGCGTGGCGGGGAAGGCGGCCACACTCGGCGTCAGGTAACCGCCGTGGCTGGCTGCCATGATGGCCGCCTGCTGCTGCATGAGCTAAAGAAGAGGGACACGGAGGACCGGGGATGAGGGTGCCCAGGTGAGAGGAGGTGGGGGGGCAGATGGTAATGGGCAAAATATAGTATGTGGGCGAGGGCGGGAGTGGGGGATGTGTGCGTCGAGGTTGATGGATGGAGAGTGGAGGGGAAATGGAAAGTGGAGCAGAGTAGAAGAAAGGGAAGCGGGAAGAAAAGAGAAGCCTGTCAGCCTATGTTTAGTGCATCTGTCTGGGCTGGCAGCAGGAAGCCTGTCACCAGCTGCTCTCGCTCTCATACAAATCAAGACGTTGACATGTGCACATTATCTGCGCGCTCAGGGAACAGCCAAAGTTTGCACAGGAGTTGCAATGTGTTGCTCTCCTTAGAAACTTCACCGCAACATACAGTAAACCGCTCGCTTTTTCACAGTTGCCAAGTACGGCTGGAACTGGCTCCCTTGTATTTATTGATTGTCAGCAAGATGGATTCACAAGTGTTTTGCGCAATATCTGCTGAATGCTTCAGAACTCACTGGACGGCGCTTCACAGTGTCGATGGACAATGACCCCCAAAGCATTCTGTGAAAGCGATCAAGTACTTTTGAAAGCCAAGAAGTGGAAAGTGAGGCAATTGCCAAGTCAATCACCAGACCTGAATATGTCCATCCGTCCATCCATCCATCCATCCATTTTCCGATCCGCTTTATCCTCACAAGGGTCGCGCAGGGTCCTAGAGCCTATCCCAGCCGTCTTCGGGCAGTGGGCAGGGGACACCCTGAACTGGTTGCCAGCCAATCGCAGAGCACATAGATGAACAACCGTCCGTGCTTACACTCATACCTAGGGCCAATTTAGAGTGTTACATTAACCTGCTACGCATGTTTTGGAATGTGGGAGGAAACCAGAATACCAGGAGAAAACCCACACAGGCACGGGGAGATCATGCAAACTCCACACAGGAAGGCAGGAGCCGGAATCGAACCCTGCACCTCTGCACTGTGAAGCTGATGCGCTAACCAGTCAACCACTGGGCCGCCCAAGGCAAATGTCAAGTAAAAACAAAACAAAACAGGAACACAAGTCAGTTGCATTAAAGCCCTGGCAGAGCATCACCGGGATGAAATCCAGCACGTGGGATTTCTCTGCGTTCCAGACTACTGTAATGGACTACAACGGATTCGCAACCAAATTTTAAAACGTGAAAGTTTGATTTATTTATTTTTTTTTTACACACGCAGAACCTTTTGTGAAAAAGGCAACAAGTGTGATCATTATTTACTGCGTAAACTTTAGTGCATCATTATCGTAGAATTGGATGCAGTACAGGGTGGCAGGTCATGTCTGCAGATTGAGGTGCAAGAGACGATCGTGTCATTATGATTGACCATGTGACCAAAAATAAATAACAGGAGTCTTTGTTCGGGTTTCCATATACCCAGTGTGGGACTTGCAAAATTTTTTTTTCCGAGACCTCGCAGTTTTTGAACGGCAAAAATGTGAACATCTCACGTTCTGACCAGGGTATACACTATGAACCGTTTTTGCAGAGAATGCTTCCTAAGTACTTTGTATATGACGTAGTGATGTAATGGAATTAAGTACTACTATTGACAATTTCAACATTGCATTATTACAAATATATCTTCTCATAATAACAGTGTTATAACGTAATAACAAAAAAAAAAATACTTTTAGCTTTCAGCTCTGAACGGATGTGATTTACATGGCAACTGTAAAACTAATGCATTACACGGAAGCAGGGGGGTGGGTGGGGCAGGTTATTACCATGCACCAGTGCATGCATACAAGCATATAAGTAAACACTGTGGGCTACGTTTTGATGGAAGCTACGTTCGTCTGATTCTAAGCAGAAATGCAGGGTGAATGAAGGCCCATCGATTTTCATCTCCGGGCAGGCGGGGGCGTTGTCCGGCAGGTGGAAATTTACTACAGTTGTTTGTGACACACCTACTAAATTACTAACATGCTCTGGATTCAGAGTTGCTAGTTATGCCTGCTTAAAAATACACTTTTATTGATCGGTGCCTGGATTCAGGGACATCTCAAGAGGAATGAGATGCTCCGCACTCGCCAGTAAAACTCTGCTTTGCAATAATAGGGGAAAAAAATGTTTCAGTGAGGGGGAAAAACAAAACAGACAAAAAAAAAAAAGTGTTCTCTTGGTGCAGAATAGGTTTTTACATTTCAGGTAACACGCAGCAGTCATTTGAATGAAGGCAAAATGAAAAAGCAGTTTGGACAGTCAAAAGTTGACATCATTGGCTTGAAAGGCGGATAAATTTGGGGATTTCAACTGTTATGAAATACACATTTTCACATTGATTAGGGGTTCAAATTTTATTTTCGTTTATGGTCACGGTCCGATTTCTCCTTTGCTCCTTTGACGATATTGCGAGAGAATGACCGCTCTCCCCGACAATATTTGCTTGGCGGACCTTGTGATGGTAATAGTGGGAGAGAGGTGTGGCATCACAAAAAAAAAAAAAAAAAGCCAATTATTTTCTACCAGGAATGCTGTCAGGTAAGGTGAAAGCGACTGTCCCGCTGGCAGAATCCCCACCGCTGCCGTCTCATCCATTAGAATCATGCCTGCTATCTATTAATGCCTTTTGTCATTTGCATAATTTTATCAAGTTGGCAAATGGCCATCAACTGTTTATTTCTCAATAAGATGAATTGAGCCAAAGGGGCTTACACTGGAAAAAAGGCAGTTTGTGCAGGAACAAAAGCAATGGCTCAACAACAAAGAGGTGCATGATGTGACTTGTCGCCCACCAGATCTCTTTAAGGATGACTTGGACTCCATTATGATGGTCTAAATAATGTCAAGCTCACAAAGGTCATTAAGCTTGTGACCAATACAATCTTAATTTTGTTTTTGCAACATAATTGCTATGGACTGTAATGGAAATTTACCAGAGATGGCACATGTGATCGGATAATGTCTTTGTCTTGAGACTTACGAAAGCAGCATGAGGCTCAAGGAACTGTAACTGTGATCACAGGTGGACAAGGTTTATTTGAACTGTGACAGCAGCTGCTGTTCGACATCCCCCCACCACCTCCAACCCCCCCCAAAACAAAACAAAAAAAAAACAAACTTGTATACTGCATTCCGTAAAACTACTCCGGACAGCCTCTCCTATTCTTGCAAGAATACAGAAATTTCAAACTCTTCCCTTGTTTACCGCAGAAATAACTAACAAGTGCTCTGTCGTCCAAGCATCTGACTTCATTTTGCTTTGGCGGACAACTTTGTGTCAATTTGACTTGTTGTCGCACGCCTACGAAATGGTACTAACGTGATGCGACATGATGTGACTAACCGTCTAACTTTGCTCCGGCAAAGTGAAACAGTATAACAAATTTCATTTCATTATTTTTTCTTTTGTTAATGGTTAATGTTGATCCCAACACTTTGGCTCGTTAGCATGTGATGCTAACGGTTAACGGCGCCGCTAACACAATAGTTTGCGGAACTATTTGTGTCGGAAGAGCCAAATAACTGCTTAGATCAACAAACAATTGATAATTTCTTGCCATTACTGTAAACTAATAAATGTTGCTTCTCGAACTGTTGCATAAAAGAATAATTTAATTGTTCTGTCAGTCTACATTGCTGGTATAGATGAACAAATATACATTACAGGTAGTAAATTAAAAAAAAGACTTTTCCAACCAAGTTCAATTGGCTATTTTTTTTTCTTCATGCCTCACTAATATGTGGTTGGGAATCATCGCTTGAGGCTGCATTACATCCAAATGTCAAGGCTATTTTCTCTGATGGAGGTAAAAAGAAGGGAACAAAAGCCAAACGAGGGGGGTTACAAAAGAGAAGCGAAGAAAGTTGTCCGGCTTCCAGCGGCAGTCATTTACTGTCAGGCATCTGCTTTTTTTTTTTTTTTGCAACCTGATGGCACCGCTCCTCTTGCAGTGCCAGCAGGCAATCACCTCTTTATCACATGGCAATTATCTCGCTACAGCGCCGCTCCGTGACTCGCAGCACTGTCAGACGTGAACCGGGCACGTTGCGACCCGGTCGGCAGCGTATGGAGGGAGAAGACAAAGGGAGGCAAAAGGGGTTGATAAAGGTGGTGCTGAATGGGGTGGGGGGGGGGGGCGGATAAGAGCGGGAATTGGGGGTCAATGAGGTGAAATAAAAGACTGGATGGCAACTAGAGGCCCCAATTTGTTTGCGCCATGCTACTAAGCATAGCGATTTCTCGTACGCATGTGAAGCATGCAAAAGCGGGTGTGTACCTCGAGGGACATAACGAATCTGTACGTTATAACGGTGGTTCATTGTAACCATTTCCAATAAAATGGCCGCCAACTATGACGTATAATACGGTATGAACATTTATAGATTTGAAAACATGTCAGTTAAGTGGATACAGTATGGAGAAAAAAAAAGGATTTATCAGTCATGAAACAAAGAACTGTAGTGTTGCCACCCCATCTCCAAAAACATTCAGTCGGCAAATGTTACCCGCTGTAAATGTTACCCGCCGAAGCCAACTGTCATCAATTTAGGGTGTGCCGCGCCCCGAAGCCGTTTATGATCATCTTTCAAATTGTTGGCCTTGAACTCTGCCATGATGTTGATGCCATTACGGATGATTGTCAAAATCATTAACTGCCAATTCGGAGTCTCGGCTGAGACTTTGTCTGGGAGACTCCCTTTCCAAAGTGAGAGGCAATTTCAGCCTTCACAGACAGCCAGATTTGCTTCCATTTACCAGACATGTTTTCAGACCATGTGCGCCGTGCCTCCGGAAACAGAACAATGTACGAGTTGATTAGTCGCGTTACTATGCAACTGAGGAGAATCTCGCGCTGTACATTTTGTTCATAAGCAAGGTCGCAATTAGCTTCCTCGTAACATTGTGGTAACGAAGGCTTTTTCGGGATACGTTGAAACAAGGTTCGACTGTACTAGTCAGACGCAGCCATTCTAATTAGTTGCCTTACGAGTGATGACAAAGAGTGAACTAGTTTA